TTACCCCAGACGCTCCACTGCTGCTATGGCTGTAGTACATGGTGTTCCTACGAACCTATTGAATCACGGGCCGCACACACACGTGGACACACGTACACGTATACACATACACAGACACGCAATATTTTGTGTATGTAAAAATCATGTCTTTTGCATATCAAATCTAAATATCTGAATTTTAAAAATGTAAATGAAATTTCCTGTAAATGTTTGCTGTTGGAGCGGGATTTTCTTTAGAGATATATCAAAACAGGGAAAAGGGGCTTACAGCTACATCACGTTGATCAGCGAAGTTAAGCAACGTCGTACCTGAGCAGTATATAGATGGATGACCGTTTCAGAATACAGTTGCTGCAATCTTGTATGTACGGGTGGTGTAATGGATAATGGCTCGGAATCGTTAATCGGAGAGCCGAGTTCGAATTCCTGTTGGATTCGTTATATTCACTTACACACAAATTCCCTTGGGAAAAGTATGATCCACCTTTTCTCCCTCCAGCTATGGGTTAATTAGTACGACTTGTACACGGAAACCATTATTATCTAAAAAAAAATTCTTTAATTTAAAAATATTTTCTGGCTTTAAATAACCTGCAAAGTGTTGATAAGCCGTAGAAAAATGAATCAAGCAATAAAACAAAAAACAGGGAAAAGTAAAAATCAACAGTTAAAAACGACCTATTTAAAAAATTGTAAACTCGCTGGCATAAACAATAACTATATTATTATTATACATACTAGCAATATCCTTGAATTTTTCACAGTTTGACTATTTTAATGCTCTGGTTAATCATAATTCTTGATTTAAACGTTGAATAAACTCCTTGTGATTTCTTAGACTATAAGAGGCCCATGGGAATTCACACGTTGTTTTGTTAAATATTTGAGCTTAACAACTTTAATAAAATATTACAATAGCAATCATAAACAGGAATTAAAAAAGGTTAGGTTAATTTTTTTCTTCATGCATTATTAAAAGGAACAAATTTTCCTGTGATTTCCTATGTTTAACGATTGTCTTTTGTGTGTAGTAGTAATCCAAATTTTTCTTGTACTTTTCAATAATATGTGGAAATAACCATTCTTTGCCCGATGAAGGTCGCGAGACTGGAAACTCGTGTAGCAAAAATATGGAACATAACGTATAATATATATTTTAAAAAATCCACATTTTAGCCAAAAACGTTTGCGGCTTCTCTCTGTTCTTTAATATATACACTTTTCTCTCGTTGAAACAACTATAACCTCTCCCTTTACACAAACACACACACACACACACACACACACACACACATATATATATATATATATATATATATATATATATATATATATATATATATATATATGTTTCCTTTGGACGCTACTCTTGCTAAAAAAATCCTGTATCCCGTACTCGTGTGTGTGCGTTTACATTCAAAATGAATTTTTGATCGATATCTATCTTATCAAATAATAGCGTGTTGAGAGCAATTCGATTCTAATCGATCCAGAGTTTCTTATATGTAAAATGCTACACGGCTGAACCGACAGATCAAAATTAATTTGACAAGTTTTCGACTTACAATAGTCGCTCCAAAAAATGCATCCTATTTTATAATGTTCGCCTAGGGCATTAGAATTTCAATGATAGTAGAGGTTAAACCTTCTTGCCAATAACACATAATTCTCCTTTACATTGTTACAGATAACAGCTGAGCAGTTGCTCTGAAAGCGGGTACGAAACAGAGGTGTGTCTTCTGAATTCCTACTTGCGAAAAAATGCACCCATTGATATTAATCGTCGCTTGCGGAAAACAAGTAATGGATGTGAGCCCAGTTAGGCGGCGTATAGCGTGTTCCGTCAGTGGCGACAGTGATATGAAAAATTGCTCTAACCACCGGTGTTACTGCTTTCCCTGATTCTGCTGTAATTATAATCCATGTCGGAATTCTTCTGTAGAAGTATTTCTCTCTTGCCTAAATTCTCCTCTTTCTCTTTGAGGAAATTGTTCCGTATCCATTTCCATATAGGAGGATTGATATTACATAACTGTTGAGCACTTTCTCACAGACGTGGCGTGGCTTCCCTCTGTTTTTACTACAAATATTTTCATTATTTACATTATTCGGACTATTGTCCTCGTCTTTGTTGCCATATTTATTACAACGTTTCGGCCTTCTTCAGTTGATTGGAATGTCGAACTGAACCCTTTATTTCGCTCACTGGGGTAGACTGTTGTAGTTCCACCTGCCATGTTTAATGGATGTCAGTTATCAGTCTTCTCCTGTTAATTCCCCTCTTTAAGTTCTCCACTGCCTTAACCGGGTATTGAACTCACCCTATTTGGGTCCTGTCAATGGATCTAATCAACGCCTTTATCCACTGTGCCATGTGTCCTGGAGGACTCAATACCCGCATATCTTTGCTGGGTTTGGTCGTTAGTGAATGGGCTCTGTGATCTCATGAACCCGGGCATGAAATAAGTATGCAATCTTACTAACCTTCACAGTTCAGTGACTATCTGACGGAAAATAGGTTTGTTCTGTTACACAGAACAGAAACCATATTGTATACTTCCCCTTTTGTTTGTCCCTTTTTTAGGTTTGATTATTTTTAGATTGCTCACCATTTTGACTACTTCCGATTTAGCCCTTGGCATGAGGAACCCAATACAATAAAGACATTACACTTTTGTTAACTTTCTATCTACACTTGTCTATTTTATTTCCGAGTTATTGTTTGAATATTTGTTTGATGTAGCTTTATTTCATACGTTTATTTTTATATCTCTCTGTGTAGAACCCATTCAACGCGTGTCAACTGTCCACGTACACCGGTTTAAAATATAACCTTTTACTAACTTCTTCTTCCGCGAACTCACTGCAACATTGGAATGTATTCTCGTAGCAAACTTTTTACATATTCATGTAAACGAAGTAGTCATCATCTTCTTTTATGCATCAGGTTCAACCTTTTTTACAAATGAGCCAAATTTAGGTAAGTTCACCTGGCCACAAAAATACTTTATATAAATATGCTAGTAAAAAGTTCAAAACGTTGTGAATATCAAATCTTAATAACAAATATATATAATTACAAAAAATACTGTATTATTGACATTAAAAAAAGAAGAAATTATATATACACGAAATAAATTAAATTCAATGTAATTTTAGACATTGCTTTCCTATTGTCAATATCTGCTTTTTAGTCTTTATTCTAAGAATGTTAGTTAAATGAAAATCACTTAAGCTATTTCTTTCAGCAGGTTTGATGATTTTCGTGCACGAAAAGAATTGTTCACAGCAGTATGTACTACCCCATATGCATAAAAGTTTTCTCGATAAGCTAAAAAAATGTCTATTTAGCTCTGCCCCACCCACCAGCCGGTGTGTCTCAGCAAAGGCCTTTGCCCACTTTCCTTTCAGTGTAATGGCAAGTGAACCTACTTACACAATCTGAGAATAATTTTCTCGATATAGGTTACTGAAGTAATTGAAAATATACCTAAAGATTTTAAGATGCAGTGTGCCGCATGAAAATGTTAAGTGAGTCGCAGTGCGGCCAGCGGCCCGCGTGTTGGACGTCTCTGTATTAGATAAATGAAGTTTTTGTTTTCAAACTCCCGACTGCTATTTCTTGTTACCCTGTTTGTTTGTATTTTTCAGACTAACTGTAGTCTTATTTATATGTACTTATTTCTTCTCTACCTTTAACCTTTTTGTTCTTAATAAACCTGACAATGTTCGAGACTTCTTCACAGTTTTAATTGCCTTAAGGCGTTTATTGTCTTTGAGACGCGGACGCGTACCCTTGGGAGCAGAACAAAGTTATACTTATCCCTTGTGCATTCTCTTACTCCTGGTCTATAGATTAAAAAGAAAATACTTCAAAGAACCTCCAATATGTATTTTCTTTGAACAGTACTCGTTTTGCTAACTAAAAAGAAACATATCTTCTTACAATTCTTTATTCCAAAACATCTAAAATAGGCTTTTTTTCAGTACTGTGTTTCAATACATTATTCAGGTTTTTCTCCTCACAAAAAAAAGAGGGTTTTTTTTTTCAAGGTATTCATCTATTAAACACCCGCCCACACACATACACTACACTAGTCTCCATCCGGGTCTATTGTATTACTTACCTTACAAATTAAGCCTATTTTTATTCATCATCACCTAATCAATATTAATGAGGACGTCCTCTGCACACCTGGGTTCTTATTTTAATAGTGTACCAGTAGGGTATGCTTGTTTATTTTTATCGTTGAGCAGTCTATACCGCATGTTCTATGTTCCTGCTGCATACGGTTTGGATGGGGGGGCATCTCGATGTGGTGTAATGCTTAGAAAGCTTCTCACTATAGCACAATTACGACTGAGTAGTGAGCTCGATCCTCACTTGGTGCCCCATACGTTCGGCCTTGTGCTACATCTAAGCCAGGCTTAGAAAATCATACGATTTGGCTGCTTCTGGTGTAGATTGAATACGGGGACCCCTGCTTATTGAACGGATATGGCAACCTCATAAAGCTGTGTTTTCTGTTTTAGACAACGATTTTCGAATTGATACTGAATGGAAAATTAGGTGAGGAAGTGTAAGCTTCCTCGGATGCGTGCGTGAGTCAATATGACTGAAGTTACAATTTTATCAACAATGACGCTTTCGTGTTTATGAACTTTCTTCAATTTATTTATTTGATTACCTTTATCCTATAATTTATTTTAATGTCATATCCCAACAGGACTTAGGTGATAATAGCTATCCATAGATTATCTTTATTAATTACTTGTGAACTGCTTCTTAGGAAAGATAGTGGAGTAGTGTCCCGTTACCTTCTCCAAGCCATGCCTTTAATGCCATGTCTCTTTAAAATGCAGGCGATCATGTATCTCCACAGTTTTCTTATGGATTGTTTCTTCGCTTAGATTGGCTACCTCCCAAGGCTAGAGAACCCAGTCTACCTTGCTGTTTAACCCATAGTTGAGAGACCTATCACATTCAATGTACATGTGGCTTACGGCCATATTATAGTGAAACACCGGCTCTCGTATAATCATCGAAGTTAAGCAACGTTGAGCCTGCTTAGTAACTAGGTGGGCAATCACTTGGGAGTACCAGGTTATGTAAGTTTGGCTGTGTAATGGATAACGGATAACGGCTCGGAATTGGAAATCAAGAGTGCAGAGTTTCACTTTCAGTCACGCAAATACATTTGGAAAGGTATGAATCTACTCCCCTATCCCCCAGCTATGGGTTAATTAGTAGGACTTGTATCAGTAAACCAGTATCATCTCCAAAAAAATTCTAGCAATCTAAAAAAATATTTTCTGGCTTTAAATAACCTGCAAAGAAAAGTTGATAAGCCGTAAAAAACAGATCAATCAATCAGTGTGGATGCAAATGTAATAATTGTTAGAAAAGAGAGTGGATATTTATCAAGTTTAATTTTGTCTGGCACAAGTCACGTAATTAAAGAACTCAGCAGGGATCGAATTTACTTCAATAGCGAACTGATCTGCTGGACGAACTTGTTAACTAACAAGCTAAAGAAGACAAAGTACTTGCTAAGCTTAGTCTAATTGTTAATACTGAGTTCGATTGGTACTGAGCTGTGTCGGTAACCCTCAGTGATAGTGAGAACTTAGTATTAACAATTATTAATTTATGTCTCATAATATTTGTTACATTTAGCATATGATATGTGTATGCAAATGTAACAGCTATTATGCGACAAAGGTTGCATAATAATATTATGTACTAACCTATGTCCCATACTATTTGTTACAATTAATGTTGGGATGTATATGTAAATGTAACAAAGTCAGGAAACATGGCTCAGTGGTTAAAAGCGTTGGTTGGATCCAGTGACTTGATCCAAAGAATTGTGAGTTCAATACAAAAACTTGGAGAGTTGAGTTAAAGGGAGATAACTGAGACATTCGAAAGAAGCATGGCACATGGAACTAGAAAAATCTACGCCGGTGGACAAAATAAAGGGTTCAGTTCAAAATTCAAATCATATGAAGAAGGCCGGAGCCTACAACGGATGAAACGTCGTGAATATAGCAAGAAAGATGAGGACAACAGTCCGAACAATGTAAATAGTGTAAATAATTACAATGCCTCATCTCAGAAATATAGACAGATCCTGAAGAAGGCCGGAGCGTACAACAGGCGAAACGTTGTGAATATGGTAACAAAGATGAGGACAAAAGTCCGAACAATGTAAATAGTGTAAATGTTTACAATACCTCATCTCAGAAATATAGACAGATCCTGAAGAAGACTGGAGCGTACAACACCCGAAACGTCGTGAATATGGGGAAAAAAAAAACGAGGACAACAGCTCGAACAATATAAATTGTGTAAATAATTACAATACTTCATCTCAGAAATTTGGACAGCTCCTGAAGAAGACCGGAACGTACAACGGGTGAAACGTCGTGAATATGGCAACAAAGATGAGGTCAACAGTCCGAACAATGTAAATAGTGTAAATAATTAAAATACCTCGCCTCAGAAATATAGACATATATGGGACAGAGATTCAAATAACAATAGTAACCTATGTCCCATATTTGTTACATTTATTGTATGAGATGTATTTATAAATGTTAAAACTATTATGGCACAGAGGTTATATAATGACTTAATGCTCTACATATATCTAATAGTAGCTGATACATTTAGTGTAGGAAATGTGTATGAAAAAATAACAATTATTAACAAAACTATGAGAATATAATGTATTCACTTATTTCTCATAAAAGTATATTTATTGAATGAAACGTCTGTGCAAATATAACAGCAATTATGGAACATAACTGATACAATATTACAATATCCAATCATAATAGCTGTTACATTGAGTGTATGAAATGTGTGTGAAAATATAACAACTATTATGGGATAGAGGAAGCATTTCATACAATTAACAGGAAGGCGCAAGAACTTAATAATTAAGTATTGTCAATCCAAACTTTCTCGTTTTATCCGCCACTTTATTTTCATCAGCCACTCTGGTTAATTGTTGTCCAGCACATAGAGCTATAAATTAAGTGTAACTAATCTGATACAAGAGAACATTAATAAAACAACCGGTGAAGATCGAACACATTACACTTGCAAATCCTTCTACGAGATGCTTGCTAACCACTGAAATACTATTTTGTATATGCAGATAAGACAACGTACTATAGACATTTATTATTACTGTAGTGTCTTCTTAACCCTTTGAGCACTGCGTTCCTGAACAATTTTAAACCCTTCTGTCTGAGCTCCTGAGTCAAAATTCGCAAATAATTAGTATGTAATGTTTCATGGTAGATATAATAATAGTTACAAAAAATATAACTTCCTGGTTGCATCTCTGACTGTCCAGGTTGAGACCCTGCACGCTTCATAATGAAAACGATATTTTTTTTAATTCAAAACACATCCACAAAACAATGAAAAGGTGCGGACATGTTGGTAGAACGTTTGATGACATCAGAATATTACGGCTTTTCTGATTGGCTCTTCAAAATAAGACAACCAATAGAAAAACACGACGAGAATGTTTAACCACCGTTCAACCGGTGGCTATGCATTAATTCATTTTCCTCTACCACTGTTCAATCGGTAGCTAGGCATTATGTCGTTTTTCTCTACCACCGGTAAAGCGGTACTCAGGGCTGAAAGGGTCAATAAACCCATCAACACATATATTGCATATTTATCAGTATACCATTCGTCCATGCTTAGAATATTGCTGCTACGTATAGGCTGGGACTCCTGCTCTATATTTAGAGATCCTTGATAAAATTCAAAGACGAATCTGCAATGTTATTTGTCTTGACGTGGCATCTCGGAATCAGGTAATTTCTTACAGCCGTAACGTAGCTTCACTGTCTTTTCTATAAATACTTTCATGGTAATTGTTCTGATGAAGTTTCCTCTGTGCTATCTAGATCAGGGTCGGCAACCTACGCAAAACCAATTTCCAATTTTCCAGCCGCAAATGACATCACGAAGTCCGAACCAATAATTACTACGATGCAATGATGATATTTAACTGTTTCAATTTTGATATATACTAAAGTATATATACTATATATTACTATATAAAATATATTGTAGAACAGGTATATTGACCTTGACTTGTATAAAAATATATATATGCTGTTGGCGCACTGAATGATTTTAAAACCCTAAGTCGGCACATAGTTATCAAAAGGTTGCCGACCTTTGATCTAGATTCTATGAATATAAGCGCAGTATTAGATTGGCGGTGTAGTGCTTTAATCAACATAGTATCAGCAGTAGCTCTGGAGGTATAAAAACAACGCGAATCCTTAAAGGTAACTCCCTTCCGTATTTTCCTTTTTTCGAACGATGTGACATGAACTTTTCACACTGAAACTAAAAGGCTTCACTCTAAAACACAGTAAGTCACACTCAAATACATTCATTAACATTTCGTTGTGCATGCAATTTACTTCTAGGAAAAGAAACTTGTTTTAAACTTTACTCTTGTTGATTTTGTTTAATAAATGTAATTGGTCTGCTGCTCATTATTTCATGTGCTGTAAAATATTCTCGTAAGAAACCTTTCACATTAATTATCGAAGTAGCTAACACACTACATTATATTAGACTTTAATATATGCTCAATGTATGTTAATATGTGTTCAAGCCTCATATCTCTAATAATTAGAGATATGAGGCTTGAACCCATATTCCCTAAACAATGATCCACTGTAACATCATGCACTTCTTTATCATTCCTCTTCCTTAGTCCCTGACTTCTCTTTCCAAGAGATAAGCGGATGCAAGACATTTCCCTTACTCTCTGCTTCTGAATCATCCCTTCCTCCCATTAAATCACCCACTCTCCTGATACTAAAAGGTTTCTTACTCGATGAAGAAAACAGACAGACGCATACACTCGTGCAATAAGTAAATGTTTGTCCTATGAAACGCCCCCACATGCAGCAGACACGCGCACATGTACTTACATACTTTGCTAACAAAAAAACAAAAAATATACAAAAAAAAGAAAACAAAACAAAGCAAAAGACACGTCGACGAACACGTGACTGAAACTTCACCTTACGACGTTATCTTACGTTGCTTCAAGAAGCAAAAAGAAAGACAAACAAACAAGTAGACATTCGAGTATTCTTGAGTCTTCTGGACAGGAAGACATCAACAAAATGTCTTCTTTCCAGCTACACACTTTTTTTCCTTTGTATAAATGAATGAATAATGTGTTTTTTTTTCTCTCCTTGACACACATAGATAAAAAAAATTAAGTCCATCTTCTTTGCTCAACTCCATTTTCTCTTCGTATATATCTGTGCCATGGAAGTTTCTTGGATTTTGAAAGTATAATAATATTTCAGAAAACACGCCATTTTGTGTATACCGTGGCTGAGCGGTCTAAAAGCACGCGGAGCTTAACGGTGATTTAGCCTGCAAGGAGGACGCAGGTTCGAACCTTGCTGGATGGTCTAATTTCTTTAGAAATATTACCCAGTATACAGGCCCGTTGACGTAAATTTACACCTAAAAAAACAATGATGTCTCCTCAAACAGGTTTATCTACTAAATATAACGTATATATATATATATATATATATATATATATATATATATATATATAGTCATCCACAGACAGACTGTTTCGCTGTATCACAGCTCCTCAGTATTACTAGATATCCGATCGCTTCAAGCCGGGACTGAAACCCGACCGATTTGGTATCAGTCGGAGATTCTATATATATCTGAGTATCCATTCTTTGATATAACGTAACAGGAAGTTTATCCAGAACTGATTGTCTTGTATACTCCTTTCCTGTTTCTGCCATTTTTTTTAACTCTTTGTTGAATTTCTAATGTATTTCTCGATTTTAACTAAAACTTAGTACCTCTTTTTTTCTTTATTAATATGAGTAAATAGGCTTTCCCGTCGTCCGATCCATACTTCTTACCCTCCTCTTGAACAGGAGTAGAGGCTCATCCCTTGTTTCCTGTTTAGGTAGAGTTTTTCGGTTCCTTTCCTTTTCTCTGGACTTAATAGTGGTGCTGTCATGATTTTTTTTTTGTGATATGCGTGGACGGTGGCAACTGGTAGTTAGGAT